CCACTGAGGTACTAAAGCCCCACCACCACGACAAGGTGCAGGTACCATTAAGTGGGGTGTTCATATTAGATACAGTAGAAAATAATGTTGCTGTACATTTTTATTAAATTATTTACAAATATTGGTTAATCCTTTGAGTGACATTTAAGTGGCCTAAATTACTGCTAGAATTGGTTTCTTTCCTTGCATAATAAAATGCCATTACCTATGCTACTTTTGGCTAGAAAATCGAGTGAAAGGGAAACAAACAGAACTCGGTGTACTCAGTCATTAATAGATGTCAGAAGCTTACAGTCCTTAAGAGAGCAAAAAATATGCTATATGTGCACGCTCTGCAGGATTCAGGAAGTGGAAAACAGGTATGTTCATACAGCATAGTGATTCTGAACATGCCAGTATTTATTTTATACTCTTCAGAAGGCTATAGATTTCTTTCTTTCCTATGGTCTGCAAAATTGGTGCTTATTCACTTTTTATATATATCTTATAGAATTAGAATAACAGGTTATTGACTGGGAGTGTCATATCATGCCTTATGGCTCACAACTTACCCTGCAGTGTAACTACAAAATATGGTTATATCAGATGATTCTACTTCTGACCAGTGTGCCTCATGCTGTATGTCTGTCTGTAGACTGCCGTTGGTTACATTTCATTCATGAAAGCTAAGTTTACATGTGTGTAACCCAAGCTTTTGAGTAGTATATTTAGTAAAACCTGTTAGTTCTCTCCAAGTACATGTTCGTAACACACGTTTTACCATAGTTGTCTGTAACCAAAAGTTTTTGTTGTTAGGAAAATAATTTTCTGTGTTGCTAATGCTGTGTACAGTGTAGTCGGTGCAGTAGTTTTTGGCTGGTGGAAAAGCTAGTGGAGCTGGCGGACAGGCCTACTCCGTGTACCTGAGGTGGCAAGGTCAGTGTATTTCTTTTGTTTGGGCGTTCAGTCCGATAAGCTCCTCGGTGCAGTCAGCATTATACTGTCGCACAAGTGACTCGCTCCTAGCCTTCCCCTTGAAAATTCCACCGGCCAAAAACTATTGCGCCGACTATAAGACTTGATTTGTTATTTTTGCAGCTTTAGTAACTTTAGTATGTATAGATTTAATATTCAGGACCTTTTTAATTTGTGCTTTTCATGAAATATTAGGATTGAAGAGGATGATAGTGGGCGATGCAGTAAGATAGATTTTAATCTTGGGTTTTAGGTGATTTTAATTGTGCTGTTTTTAACTGCCCTCAGTTTTGTTACATGTATCACCTATAAGTTACATTCATGTATTGATTTTATGGTTTATAACTTGTAGGATGACTTCCCATTGGCCAGCTTGCCTCTGTTGGGGTATACAGTCAGTTCTCCCTCAGAGCAAGATGCCATACACAAAGAATATGTGTTCAAACTCCAGTTCAAGAATCACGTTTATTTTTTCCGGGCTGAAAGTGAATACACATTTGGTCGGTAAGTTAAATAATGCAGAATTGTGTTGTTGCTTCTTGAAACTTGTTGGCTTCTGGTGTTTTAAATTTTTTCTTCTTCTGAAATGCAGGTCTAATTCATTACTACCATTGTCTCCAATTAGTGAAGTTGTTTCACATTCCTTTTTCAGTGACATAGTCTATCATAACTTCTGTAGTGTGGAGCATTGTTTCCTCCCTTCAAACTCCTTTAAACCATTATGTCAAGCTGTTACTTTATTAACTCCGTAAGTCCATGTAACTTTATGTCCAAAGATTATTGTAGGACTTTATTGTACAATAATCCATATACAAACTAAGACATTTAAAAAATTTCAAAAAAACCCCAACTGTTTTGGATTTCAGTCAACTACACGGCACAACAAGTAACGCAATTAGCAGATGTTCATATGTTATTAACAAGTGGCATTTTGTTTTTGAAGATGGATGGAAGTTATCAGCAGTGCTACACAGCATTCTGGTCGTTTACGGCTGTTCAGTAGGAAGGAAAGTGTGTTAGAAGACAGCTAGATTTTGCAATAGGATGTTGGTAAGTCCATGTTTGCAGTAATAAGAACTGTGAAGCTGACCACCTCTTCCACATGTTCCATTATTAGGAAGTTACTCTATCATTTGGCATGTTAAAAGAATGAGGTTAATGGGTGTTATTAAGTGTTGAGAGTTGGTAAATTTTTTATGGTTTCTGGTTTAATAGGAAAGAATGATTAAGCATATATGTATTAATTCTTTTCTCTGTGTGAAATGAGCAAATATAGATCATTGTGAATCTTGAGTACTCTTGTGTACATATGCTAAAAGCAAAGGAGGAGTAGGATGTGAAATGAAATTATACATATAATGCTTAATAAATGTAAACACTTAATGTGTTCTAATGTATAAAATAGGTCATGCTGGTATCTTGCATTTGCCATGGTATTACATCTAAGAACAGTCCAAAGCATTGAACTGAACTGAACTGAATCAAATTGAACCTAATTGCTGGTAAATTTGGATTTCAGGTATAGAAGCATTTTCAGTGTGCAAATCTTTGAGAGTACATATAACTATATTATTTGGAATTAAATTATGTATTAAAGGTGTTGTACACTTATTTACATGGTAATAATTTAATGTTCTTTGGAATGTTATGTGACAAAATATGTTTCTGCTGCTTAATTTCACGTGTTCCACCCATAAAATTAATGTTTCTTGGAATTGGTCATATAATGCCTGTTTCAGTGATAGAAAGGGCAGCTATGCACTACTTTTCAGTTTCTTTAAAGGGATACAGAGAACTGAAATTTTAATTGGATATAAACTAAATTTAAAGGAGCAGCAGTTTATACAGTATGATGTTCTCTAATTAGAACGGTGTGAGTACAGAGTAAGACGCCTTGTTATGAATTAGAAAGAACATGTATTGCAGACTTGTTGTTTTATAATGGAACTTGTATTATCACATATGATGGGACATCACACAACCTTATTCTTCTCTCTCTTCTTCCGTTTCTTGACCGTTACTTCGGTCTTCCGGTGCCTAATATTTTCTTCCATTCTTCTCTATTTTCCCATCCTTGTGGAGGTAGTTTCCACTCTATCATGGTTCTTGTAATTTTGTCGTTCCATCCTGGTCTCTGTCTTCCTCTCTTCCTTCTCTCTTTTGGTTGCCATTATTCTTGTATACAATAATTATTAAAGTACACAAATTGCACTCTTATTTTGAATGATAGACATGTTATTATTAAATATTCTTTCATCAGTGTTGTTTGTTCATGTAGAATGCTTAACCAGTTTCATATTGCTGGCTAGGTTACAAGAACATTATAACCTTTTTTAGCAGCAATTGAGCCTGCATTGTGAAACAGTGTTTGGTCTAAGAGACTGCTGATTTTTCCGACTGCATACTGTCAGAGATTCTGTCTTCTTGTAGAGTGATGCCATCAAGCATTTCCACAAGTTCCTCTATCTGAATTAGAAGTTCATAAAATTCCCCACACTGTTATTTCATCATTTACAGTAAATTTATAAGATCCTGTGACTCTGAACATTGCTGCTGAATTGTTAGCACTTGTGCTCGAGATTTTGTGTGCTTATTCTCCGACCCACCAGGCAAATGCTTGGATACTACCTTAAATTATGCCACAAATGCTTCTTTGTATATCATTTCCAGTTTATTAATTATCTAATAATTTGATGGTATAGGGCGTATGTTCTGAACTACTGGTAGGATCATTATATCACAAATGAGTAAGTAATTATGATCCCCTGTGTCTGTGTGCACGTAATTTTATTTTACTTGGTTTAGAAGTCTTCAGCAGATGATACATCAATAGCATAGTTACAGAATTCTTAATTAATATGTGGATTCAAATTAATGAGGAATAGAGCTCAGGCTGATAGATGGTGATGGTATAAGAATGTCAGACATTTTTGTTTTGTACTGAAGGATTTTAATGCATAGAATGAAGTATTAGATTTTACATCTGTTTGTCTGTGGACAGTTATTTAAGCAATGGAATAGTAATTTTAATATATATTTATGTTATAACTGTATGGAGAAATCCATGGCTTAGGTTCATGTCATGAAATCATTTTCAGAAAACCATAATAATCTGATCATGATTGCCTGCTGTTATATGCAAACACCTTTGTGACTTAACTGTTGTATGGCCTGAATTTGAAAAGTACTTCTATATGAACTGTTACTCAGATCCTTGTGATTTGAAAGCATTTGTTTTTCCCTGCCTTCAGAGTTTTTTCTCATATTGGCACCAGTTCCCAAGTTACTTGTACTTTGTTTAACGCTTAACATGGTATAATATAAAATAACCACTGTGTGCGCACGTGCACATGCACACATTTGCATGATTTTATTATTTTATGAATGCATTTTTAAAACTTCAGTGCAAAACAAAATGTTGCATATTAAATATAGCATATTTGTAATTTGAAAAAGGTAATTAAATACAGTTGAGCAGCAGTTATCAAGAATATGAATGGCAAGTTAAAGGAACAAATAAGCTTCCATTGATGTACTGTGTTAAGAAAAAATTATCTTTAAACCTTTTCCCATTCTTTAGATTAAATTGTATGAAACTTTCTTTAGAATGGGTAGTATTTGAATTCAGAGTTCTTGCTTAATTTATATTAATATTTAGATATAAGAGATCAATCTTTATTTCATGATAATTTAATTCCTTTCATATGAAATTTTATAGTAAAATCCAATCAAAAGCAGTCCATATAACAATGCAATTCACTACAATCTTGTGCATTGGTAACATAAATGATACAAGGATTTTTTTATATTGTGTGCTATCCTTTTTTTAAAAAAATCACTTTGCTATACTTTGATGGCCTACTCTTGTATTTTCGGGATAATGTAAACTTAAAGGTAAGTTTGCTTCATTTCAGATTTTAAGTTATGACAGTTTGGTTTTAAGTTGACAGCTGGTCATGGGTTTCAGTTTAATATCATTTCTTTGTTTGCAGAAGAAATACTGTAGTAATTGTACAAAGCAATGAATTGAAATAATTTCAAAACAATTTCATTGTCATCTGCATCAGCTTCTTCCATATGGCAATAAATGAATTACATATCATATAATACTGCAGACAGTCATGTACTTGTCACAGAGGCACAGTAAATAATTTTGTAAATTATGTAAGACAAGTTAAGGTAACCAGTTTTCATTACTGTCCCTGCTGAGATTTAACTGGACTATCAAATGGAAGAATTTTTAATAAAAATGGTACTGGTAAGAATTTTTACATTAATATGACAGCATATTTTGCAGATTACACTATAGTAGTCACTGAAAAGTTGGCAAAGTAAAATGTGTCTGTATATAAACCTGAGAAGACACCATAAGAAGTATCACAAGAAATATTTAAACTCAAGGATACATGAATGTTTTCAATGAAGAAGGAAAAGCTCTTTGGAGGATGACTTGGTATAATCAAATAACAGATTGGTAGGTGGAAGTATTACATTCATTTGAAAGTTGGCAAATGTCATTTTATCTTACAATTTCTTCTTATATTTTTATTGGTAAACTCTTATCTCTTCATTAATAAAAGCAAAGTGTTTGGTGCTGCTTGGTTATTTAATACTATATCAACTGCAGCATTTGTTTAGCATCAGATGAGTTGAGAGGATGATTATCTACAGTATTTGTCATAGTAAATCTTTGCTTTGATAAATGTTTCTCTCTTCTTTATCTGATTGACAGATGAATGAATGACTGAAGAGATATAGATTTAAAAATAATAAGTTTTTCCTACAAGAATGGTTTGCAGAGTTCCAGAATTGTTATACCTTCAAACACAATGAAGATTATGAAGCACATAAATACCATTTACTGTTCTGCAAGATGATGAAGGTACCATGCTATGGAATGGGCAAAATATTGTTGCAGTGTAATTATTTTCATATAAATTTAATAAATTTTGACAATGTATGTAGAAGTTTATTTGTTCTCTCAATATCTGGATTCTTGCATAGGTCATTCTTCAGTTATTGTTTGTTTTTTTGCAGTTAACTTTCAACTTGTATGGAATCATGATCGTCATATTGCACTAAATAATTACTCCCATTCAATCGAGTTTGTAGCATTTTTCTTAAAATATAGCGTTTACTTATTTTGTGCTAGTATTCAATTATTTGTCATTGCTGTTTTTGTATCCTGCAAAGAGCTTTGGAAAATACATTAAAATTTATGGTTGGCTAAAATGCTTTAATTTCTTGTATATATATTGTATATTCTTCAGACATTTTTATGAAGAACTGAAAAATACAGCAGCTGTTATTTACTGAATAATTATTTTTATCAAATTAGGCACAAGGGATGGTACTGAAAGCCATAATAAAATATTCACCTCACTTGAGAAATGCCAGTGCATAGTAAAACATTATATTAATTTTAATTTCAATATCAATATATTGTTATATGTTATAACTTTACATTTTATATACTCACATATAAGGGTGGTGTTTGCATCTGAAGCATCACATTAGCATGGTAATATTTGTATTGTTGTTCTTTTCTTTTTATTCTGTATGAGGATAATGTGCATTTCAAGTATGCAGAGATATGAACGCCTACTTATCTCTTTTTGTAACAGGAAATAATAGTTTTATGTTTGCTTTTGATTATTTAGAATATTTAGTTCGTACAATGCTAACATACATGCAGGTAAAACGTGATTATAAGGGCCTTAAAAACTGCATTACTGTAAAGATAAGACTAATATTTAGTCAGTAATTCTTTTCAACACACTTAAAAGCCTTTGTTGATTTGTTATGAAATATTAATTGGATATATTTCTCTGTGTAATAAAAATAAGATAATAAAATATGGTACTGATTTATATTTAAACATATAAATTAATGTTTTCATCCCCCCCCCCCCCCACACACACACACAAATATTTCAAAACATGGTATATAAATATCCACATATGATACTTTATCTTTCAGATGTTTCAGTTTCTACTTTACAAAACTTCTGTTGCTGCTCTTGGGGCTGAAATTTACAGAAAAGGAATTGGATATTTAATGTATAATGGTTTTTACATGAAGTGTGGCTATTAATGTAATTTGTAATAAGGTAATTATCTCCAAAATGTATGCTGCTTCCAAAATATTGGAATATTTACATACTATTTTTGGTTATATATTAACTAACTTGATGGCTTACCGAACCTGAAGGTTCATTACCGAATTAAACAAAGCCCTCCACCGGACCCTGTCCTGGGCCAGCAAAATCCAGTCTCCTTCAACTCCTATCTCCCATAGATCCCGCCTGACATTATCCTCCCATCTCCGTCTAGGTCTGCCCAACCAATACCCGGTGCACACCTCTTGTCTCATCCTGACAACATTGGGGGAGTAGTACAGATTTTTAAGCTCATCATTATGCAGTATATTGTCTTTTAAAATCAGATCTCCATAAATAAGAAAAAATTAGTCTCAGAGATGCTGTTGTGGCATTTTATGGTATTGTTGCAAGTTACTGTTTGTATGCAGCAATAGTTAAATTCTAAAAGGGTTCTGACTGCTGTAGTCAAGTGGTTAGTGGTGGTCCTTCAGGATGTCCTGGGTTCAAATTTCAGCCTGGAGACTGGTTCCTCCATGCAAATGCCTGGATAGTACCTTAAATTAGGGCATAACCGCTTCCTTCCTTCATGCACAATGATGAAGTCATTAACTCTGAAGTACTGGTGTATTATTTATTAAAATATTTACTAACATTCACAAATCTTTTTAAAAAGTCACTTTAATGGTCGCTTGTAAGCACGCAAGTCCTCATGGTCATAGAGTTTATGTATCTTATTATACATGTAACAAAAAAAGAAAAGCAAGTTATCATATTCTCCTCTGTAAGGTCCAAAACATTCACTAGCATCACTGATTTTCTTGTGTTCATTTCGTAACCAATCAGGATTGCTACTTTGTTCTCCAGTAACATTCCCATTACTTGTTCCACTCAAATGACTAATCCTGTCTGCAGCATTGGCATCCCTGTCTGTGGTGTCTATATTTTTGGAAGTCTCAACACATGTAGATCTCTCTTGTGTTTTTTGCCCATTTCCAGTTGCTTTCATTTCTGAACTTTCAGCACAGAGGTTGACGCTATTCATGTTCCATGCCACAGTGTGGAGCTCCACAAGGAATTGGTGGATGGCCTCTATAGTAGCCAAATACCAACGTGGGCTTCCATTCTGATGTCTCCAAAACTGGGAGATACGAGACTGCAGAACTATACATGGCAAATCTAGAATCACAAATAAATGATTTCCATATCTTAACATTTGTACAAATCTTGGACAATACAGAAACAATCTGTATTAGGCTTGGCATTTATGTGGAAAGAAAAACATACAAAGCTTCGGTTGTGAAACTGTATGGAAACAAGCTCAGAAAGATTATAATATGAAAATAGATGCCATTAATATAAAAGTTGTAATGTGGATTTGATTGGACTGCTTCAGACAAAGATTCTCAAATTAGGCTATGACTTACTTTCCATATTTTCTAAACCACCATTCACTAATCCTACTGTTCAACAATATAGCAGTAAATTTTATTGGGCTATTGTTATTTGTCATTGTTGTATCTGTTCATACACTTTAAATATAAAGTTGAATGGTGATGGTTTTGATCAGAACTGTTCTTTGACCAACATGTACATAAGTAATATTACGACCACGTCTCATACTACATTTCATTAAATAATGCCATGCTGTGCAGCCACAAGCTAGTTAAATGTACTTTGTACTGTCTTGAAAGTTTCATATAGCTTAAACGATTTGTTTAAAAGTTACAAATTACAGATAATTTTCTCTCAGTGGCAAGTCAGTTTCTGAAGATAACTTCATGTTCGTCATCAAATGAATTCTCTATATAACTAAATTTATACCAAACCTCTCACACGCTGATCTTTGTAGATACCACGACTTTGGTTCCATGTGCTGTCAATAAATACAGCCTTTGTAATAGGCAATCTTGCACCTACATTTAATTTCTTGGGTCTTGGTTCAGCATTGTCAGCATCCATTTCCCTAAAATAAAATTAAAGGGACTTGCAGGTAATAAACATTCTTATTCCTCTAGTTATGATTTATTCTGCCTTTGTTTTCCCTGTAAGCTTTGCAAGAGATAATTATGATGTGACCTATAACTTAATGTACATTCTAAATTATGGTTGACACCTCATATTCTCTGGTCACAGAATTTTTATTTCATACAGGTAAGAGATAGGAAAGGCATGTAGTTCACTTGTGCTGGAGCTGGTGATAAAATTAGTCTAGCCACAAATCAGGACTTTGATGGTAACTGTATGAGTGTCACTTATTACATAGACTTTAAATTGTAGTAATGTGTAGAGAAATGAAAGTTTTCAATGGAAATGTTGAAGCCATCAATGTGAAGGTAGTTAGTTCGAGGAAGCAGTTGAAACAAATTGACTTCGAAATGAACTGTTCTTCACAAACTTTTGAATTAAATAATTATCCCAAAAGAATGCATACTAGTTTTGTAGTTGTCTATTTCCATTAGAGCAAGAGTATAATAATGGTAATTTTGACAGGGTTCCAGTATTGTACTGTTTGGTAACTACATACACGATAAACTGTTAAACTTACGATAATGAATCAAAAATATTTTCAACAGAGACAGCATCCTTTCCTGGGAAAACCAGCACTACCTAAAAAACAACATTTTAACAAAGTTATATTTATGGCTCACAAAACAGTATGTAACAACAAACACCTATAATACAATCGTATATTATTCAATGCTTTGATTAACTAAATTAATATTAGACTTAATTTCCTATTCCCATATAATGAAGGTTAATAATGCTGTTAGTAACATCAAATGAAATGGTTGTGGCCTCTTTGGCTCCAATTACTGGGCAACGTATAAAAAATCTCACTTTGACTCTTTAATTCCAAACTTCATGCATGTTACATAGTCCAGGGCTTGAGAAATATGGTTATCCATACTATCAGTTAAGGAGAAGTTCACAACAGTCATTTATATTAACAGCCTTAGTCTCATGTTAATGTTAAAAAGTCAGAAGCATATTGCAAACAATTTTATGTAAACTTCATAGTGGCCTGTTAAAAAGTAAAAGTAGTTTACCATTAATGTGAATTACATGATAGAAGAATAACAACTTACCTTCTCATTTGATCCATAATCTGGTATACACGGATAGGTATAGATATTGACATCATCAGGTGCCAGAACTGCTGCATGTACTGCCGTACTCTTCCCGTCAATTTCCCGTGAGTGTTTAATAATATCGATCTTAATAGGTAACTGCAATGAAACAATATTGTGCATTCCTTAGAGACCTAATGCTAGTTTTCAGAAAGAAATCTGGCAATTACACAACATACAACCCTAACCTTAACCTTCGGAACTAGGCCTTGTAAATCTTGTACTGGAATGAAGCAATTGTAACAAAAATATTTTCTAGACTTTTTACACAACACACAAGGTTGTCTTTGGCTGACTTCATCCAAAATCATCCAATTTTCTATCTTCAAATCCTTGAAAGGTTCACTGTCATCACACATTCGTTTCAGCGGCTCCATTATTATTACAAGGCTGCCAATTACTGACCATGGCTAGTCTTGCAATATGTCAGAGTTCGTCGGCATTAATCCATTTGTTGAAACTAGCATATACATCATCCATGCAAAATTGAAAACTGTGAAATTCTGGATGTATAACAGTATAAGTAACATCATATTAGGATCCTCATTGCGGCCCAGGTTGGTTGTTCAGAAACATGGTTGGCATCCAAAGGGAGTTGGTAATCCGATTGTCAGCGACTTCTTTTCCCACCTTTAGTAACTACGACTGAGGCTTTTGTTATTCACAACAGTCATCGTCAAAACAAGCTTCTTGTCGATTTTGTAAGAATAAATTACTTATCACATTTTTGTCAATAATAGTAGTATTTAATAGTATAGATTTAATTTGATTTCATTTGTATTGTCTGTTCTGTGGTCACAGAAACTAAGCCTAAATGAGATATATATAGGTCGTGCGATTAATTGTGGCACCTAAATCGGGTTCAAACTCCAGAGAACCAACCAACCAAAATCCTTTGAACAAAGGACGTGTTGCCTGACGGGAAAACGTCTCATTAGCAGCAACAGACCCCAGTTTGAATAGTCGAGGTTCCCGCCACGACAAAACCCCCGTTAGCATAAGCATATTCCCGTTTTAGTTATAATGCTCTGTTTACCATTTCCAGCAATGCGTTTCGTACTCAGGAACAGGGCCGTACTTAGCCACAGGCACATGAAGCGCCAGCCTGGGGCCCCGCAGATATAGAGGGCCCTCAATAAAGTTAATTTTGAAAAAAGGAAGAAACAAAAACAAACAAATTTTACTACGTAAAAATTACAATCATAAATACCAGGGCCATGCAAAGGTACTTGAAGCCCTTGTGGAAGAAAACATCGGAGTACCTTTACTTATTTGAGATAAGAAAATATTAAAATGCGCAGCAGTGAGTAAACCAAGTCGGGAGATCGGGCCACGCCAAATATATCCTTTCGTCTTATTGTGTGCAGGTTTGTATATTTCTGTGGCAGCCAATGACAAAATCATATTGTTATTTCTAATTAAAAATATTAAACGCTCTTTGCTTTATTGATCGGGGCCCATAGATTCAGTGCACTCCCCATTTGCACAACCCTGATAAAGACATTTTTTTACAAAAAGAGGATGTAAAATGAGGAGCTACTTGTGAAAGGGTAGCGGACGCAGGTCACGAAACCCAGAAACACGGCGATGGGAGTCGATGCGCTGACCACGTGATGACCCGCCAAAGCCGTATGGCTGGTCACCATACTCTCACGGGCTGTTGCGACAAAGAGTTTAGTTCAGTATTGTTCTTTATATTTCGCAGTATTAAAACGTTTGTGTTTAAACAGATTGGTAAAAATAATTGGTTTTTCCTGATAATATTTATATATGAAAGTTGTTGTTTTTTCTTTTTTGGTATCTTAAAAAGGGGGCCCCGAGAATTGTAAGTAAGGTCCTGCTCAGGAATGGTGTTACCTAGCAAGGGACGATGTCTTGCACTTGAACAGGACTCCGCCCTTCGTTAGTTTTTTGTTTGGGGTGTGGGCACCTAAATGCCCGATGTGTAACCCGAGAGAAGGGATTTCAGTAGTAGTGGGGGCTTCACCGTTTCAAACACAGCTAGAGCTGCAAACCAACTGAAGCTGACACCCCTCTATCGCGTGCTTCGGACGAGTCCATCTCATACGACCAAAACAAGTCTTTTGCGCAAGTGCCTGCATTTGTCACGCGGTCTGTATATACCACGCTGTTGTGAAAGGTTGTGTGGTGATAAGCTGTGACAATGGCCTTGACTTTTGAAACCAAAAAGGTATGTTTGAGAAAATGATAATATTTTTATACTATGCTGTTAATATATGAGTGCATTTTGTGTGCTATGTATGACACTCTGAAGAATGATGATTCTATTGAGTGTAACTTAAAATCACTTTACATTTTGCAGCATAGTGATTAGCACTCTCTCCTTGTGTCCGGGAGGCATCAGGGATTTAATGATTTTTCTACAGCCATCCATACAAATTCTGAGATAGTACAGTACTATTAATAACACTTCTACATCCTTTAACCATTAATTATCAGCCTTGCTTCACAGCATACAAGTCCAGCTTGTCAAGTATTGCAATTGCACAGTACTGGTAGCACTGTATTCTCATACAAGGTTAAAGTTTATCAGTTTATTCAGTTGTAAACAATGAAATTAAATAAAAATCATTAGGTAAACAAAGAATCAAATAAAATCAGTGCCAAACATCAAACACACTGCATTATCTTAGTATTGTTGAAAATTTTAATTCAAACGCAAGTGGTACTGTGTGTGTGTATAATAAGGTGAGAGAGTTTGGAGTGGTCATTGTAGCTGCACTCTTGGAAACCATTATAAACTTCAATTTGGGGTTGATGCATTTTACAAACACATTTACTTCCAGTAATGAACTGTAACTGAGAAGAAGCATTTGGCTTGATGTCCATCCTTTTGAATTTCAGATAAACTGAGCACTGGGGTATTGACAATGTCAGTGTGGAAGGCTAGCATCAATATTAAAATTAATTATTGTCTTATTGAGCAATAGATGTCAGATTCGATGTGATAAGCAGTCAGAACTACCAGCAAAATTATATTTAATTCTGTGTACAAGATTCAAAGTTCATTTTTGAGGGGATTTAAATTTAAAAAGTTTCTAACGTTTTTTGTTCCAGCAGTTTTTATAAAGTCTAATATGTCACTGAATCCTATACTCATTTTTCCCAGCATGTCATTCCCAAGAGTGCGAAACCAATTTGTAGCAATGCGTGTTACATCTGTCCTAACTAGTTCTAGGATCTGGGTGCCTTCTTGACTCAGCACTGTGTTCAAAAGTTCACTGAGTCTTCCACCTCCCATCAGATTTGTCATATTGACCTGAAACATGAAAATTTACAAGTAAAGATTAAGAGGATGTGTTTATTATGTGGTTTGACATCTCAGATTTATTTTTACGAAATGAATAAAGAGGAAACTCTGCCTGTCCAACTGTACATTTTACATCCCAAACCATACATCAGATTTTGATTAAATTTTTTTGTTTTGAGAGCAACAAAAATATTTATTTGGCTAATTTCGTTTTGGTCCATACTGGTTTACTATAACTGTTACGTTACTTGAAGTTCAAATCAGAGTCCTCAAAAAACAGCTTATGTCTGGGGAAAGCTGGAAGAGAGTTATAGAAGGTGTTGAGAAAAAAAAATTCTAGTATATTTTAGGTTGCAGTGAAAGGATTTATTGGAGGATGGGACTAAAATAGAAAACGAATTCATAAAATTTTATAAACAAATTACTGTTCGTTCTTTTCCACCTTCCTATCGTAGTGTTCCCAAAACAAGGAAGGTAAAATTCTACAAGATTGGACATTTTCAACGAAATACATAAACATTCTATTTCATAACTATTAAACTTCAACCAATAGTTCTGGTGCGTCGGTTGTTACTTGCTTTTCATAATAATATGGGAATTCAGTGCGTAGTGACTCGCTACGGGCTGCGACTGAAGTTCAATTCCCGGCAGGGGTACTGTTTATGTCTTCACTGTCACGTTAGTAGAGGCTCTGGGTCCCATCTTACCTCC